TAGATTTTATAGGCAAATATTTTCAAATTTAAAACTACAATACTCAATGTATAATTTCATGAAAATCTTTATTAAAAGTTCATTTGGTGCGATAGCCAATAGATTGGACAAAATAAATCATACATTAAATTGTTGAATTCATTTCAGACTTGACAGAGATGACTTTAGATTCTATTCGAGTAGATTGGATTCTCTCGAAATCTTCGAATCAAATCTGCACTTGTTTTCCCATCAAAAATTTGGCCCAGTTAATGCGTCGTTTGTAATAATCGACTAGAACATCTCTGGCTGTTGATGAAAAATAAACATTCACAAGACAGCCGAAAAGAAATATTTGAAATAATTTTATAAAATAATATATACCTTTTCTTAGGCGTTCCAAAATAGTGAGTTGAATTTGTACAAAATGTTCCAAATAACCGTCTATGCGTTGATATTCATGACTTCGGTAGATATCAGAAAATCGATTTGAATAGAGTTGATATGTCTCGAGGTTTTCATTCACAACACTCAAGATGTAATGTTCAAAACGTTTGTAAAATAATTCGTGATTCTCTTTTAATATTGGTAAATTGACAACAACTTTAAGGAGATAGTACTGGGTGATATAAGTATTTTTCCACTCATGATAAACGCTATCAATCTCAGGAGGATAGAATATAGAAGATGCAGTGAGTTCAAGTTTGAATTTTATTTCTTCGCATAATTCATCTACCGCCTTTCGATTGGTCAAAACTCCTCTAATATCGTTGCCGTCAAGTAATTGGTCTAGAGAAGTATTCACATTGGCTTGAATAAGCAAATTCATGGTATTCGACAGTGAGGAGAAATCATCGGGGGTACAAAGTGAGAACAATGGCGGTATCTCTGAACACCAAACCATTTTATTCTGTTGAAAATAAGGTTCTAAGCAATTTTTTTCGTTCTTCAGAGTCGCTTTTGCTTTTGAAGTAAATGCTGAAACTATTGTATCATATTGATCCCCCGTGGCTCCTTTAATGCACATCTATCGTTAATTTGGACAAAATAATAAAATAGTAATTAATATTCAATTAATAAATTCGAAGAATTCGTTGCGCAAGATAGTGATTTCTATCAATAATTTAATTTTTTCATTAAATTTTTAATTTTAATATAAAACCACCATTTTTACCTCGTCAAACACCAAAATCGACAGAATTACCAAAAATAAAAATTGCTTCATTGTTTCAGTTATTTAACCGTTTCGTATGCTACTGAATTTCAAACTAAACTACAATAAGAATACAAAGCAGCTTTTATACTCTAAATTTTATGAAATAAATTATGTATAGGTTAAAAAAATGTTTTTAAACTCCTCAATTATAGCTATAAAAATTGACTATTTAGTAGGAATTTTAAATGCGTAAACCACATTCTACTGAAAACCGCGTGTTTATTGTACGCTTTTTCTCCACGTGTATTGTATTTTCTCTGGAGTTTTAAAAATATATATTTATATAACTTAGCAACAATTCGAGAATAGCACGCAGAATCTATTTGTTTTCTTCTTTTGCATGATTCTATCACGTGAAGAAAATTTGGTACAGTAAAACCTCGCAATAATGGAATCGCTTGGACCATTTTTCCACGCAATATTTCTCTTAAAAAGGAGATCCTCTTATTGAAAGGTTCTATCTTGAACTTTTCACTATTTAGAAAAGGTTAAACTAATTTAGAAATGGTTTAATAACTTTCGATATGCGACCAAAGTATTTTAAATTCCTATCTCTGAAATTACTATTTCTATAGATTTTGACTTTATAAAATTTTCTTCATTCAATATTAATTCCAATTTAAAGTCATGGACCATGATGTTCGACCTCATTTGTTAACATGGGCTTCCAGCGTCGAAAATCGTTCAATTTTGGTACAATTGAATTAATTTCGAATGTTGAAAACTAAATCCAAAATAAACAATCATAAAAAACTAATCATTCTAATAGCAACCTCCCGAAAGTATAAAAATTAAAATGTCTTGCATCCGTAAGATGAACTTTTACGCACTGTGATCCACAACATGCATTTATTACGTATCTTTTACCGTAAATATGAATTCATGAGAAAACTAAATCTGATATAAATTTTGCGATACAAATAATTTGTGATAGACTTTTCAATGCCTGTTTGATATCATAATCATGTGAAAATTTGCAGATGTTATTTTTTTCACAAAAGACTAACATTCTGAAAGTTTTGTTCGGGAGATACCCCTATTACGCATTGAAATCTCTTCAAACCTTCGGAATGTTATTTTTGTGTGAAAAAAATAACCTGTGCAAAGTTTCAGCTCATTACGAATTACGATATCATACAGGCATGGCTTTCATACAAAAATCTAAATTTTTTGAAATTTTTGTATGAAAAGTGTATAGAAATATATTTGTATCGTAAAACTAATGACATATTCGGTTTTCTCGTACCCAAAAACCTCCCAATACATATTTTTGAGTGTTCAAGTATACATTAAATATCACTTTTGGAAGAAAAATTGAATTTTTCCCATGGATGGCCATGGGCATCACACCAGACATGACACTTCACTCTATCAGCCAAAGTCACTCAGAATCTATGGTTTCTATTCCTCGGCACCCCCAATCATTCTGTGAAGTCAGATTTTGAATTACTTTTCTTGTTCGAAAGTTATCGTGTTAACAAATTTTTGCGTACAGCGTACAGGGTACGCACATACATTCGGACATCGAAAGAACGCTAAATTCGTGTTTCCTGGCCCCAAAAACACCCAGAAAACACATTTTTGATGGATGTTAATTTTTCGACCGATTCTAATACTTTACCTTACACACTACACACAAAAAATGCCTAACCTCAATATGAAAAAAATTGACATAAAATTCAATTTATCCGAAGTCTCAACTGTTTTTCGATAAATTTTAGTACGCATTCTTTCCGCTCAAATATTTAAGTGATTTATGTTAAGCACTTCAGTATTTGAGCGGAAAAAATGAGAACTAAAATTTATCGAAAAACATTTGAGACTTCGGATAAACTGAATTTTATGTCAATTTTTTTCATATTGAGGTTAGGTGTTTTTTGTGTGTAGGTGTGTGCGGAAAAGTAATATAGCCAATTTATATCTGATTACAAAATCATATGTCTGAAAAAGGGAAAATATTGATGAAGATGTAAGTAATGCAATGCGATCACGAATGCAGAATCGAAAATGTATTTATCGATAACCGGCATTAACATTTTAGTCAATGATCAAGACAAAAAGCAAGAAATGCATTGATTTTGACAGAAGTACTAATAGACATCAGTAATAACGTGATTAGTATATATTTTCCATAAATAGGCACAAAATAAAAGAGAAACATTTGATCATATGAAATTTCCTACTTTCTTTATTTCACTATACATTTTGTAGACTACTATTATGTACTCTATTAAGCTTTTAATGTAGAATCCACGTTGTAGACCTTGAACCTA